TCACTTGGTAGCCCAGGCTAGCCTCGAACTCACAGAGATCCGCCTGGCTCTGCCTCCCGAGTGCTGGGATTAAAGGCGTGCGCCACCACCGCCCGGCTTCCATTATTTTCTTAATATATATATATGGTTTGTCTGCATGTATATCTGTGTGACTACCAGGTAGGTGTATGCTTGATAGCCACAGAGGACAGAAGAGGGTGTTGGATCCCCTGGGAGTAGAGATACAAATTGTTGTGAGCTGCTGTTGGATGCTGGGAATTGAACACAGCTCCTAACTACTGTGCAATTTCTATCTAGCCTTTGTAGTATGATTTATAATCTGTGCAATAATTACTTAACTCCCAATGTTAACAGGTTTAATAATTGAGCTATAAAAAGTATTTTAGAAATATGAAGTTTGAATATACCAGCTTATATCAGATTTGATGCAGTCTGTCTTTTACTTAGGCATTTGTTCCAGTGTGATTTGGCATTTGGCTTTGGTGGTGTCAGGGATCAGGCCCAGTACCTTGTTTACCTCAATCCCTTTACAGCCTTCCATTTTCTCATAGCATGCGGTCCATCTTGAGGAATCATCGATATCGACGAGATGCCAGAACTCTAGAAGATGAAGAAGAGATGTGGTTTAACACAGATGAAGATGACATGGAAGATGGAGAAGCTGTGGTGTCTCCATCTGACAAAACTAAGAATGATGATGATATCATGGATCCAATCAGTAAATTCATGGAAAGGAAGAAATGTATGTTGAAACAGTGGGCAAGGGAAAGTGAGGCTCTCTCCGCCCAGGTCTTTATTTCTTGAGAAAATGATTAGTATCTACTCAGAACATAAGATGACAATTCAGAGACCTACAGGACATGGCTGAATTGCTGACCATGGGAAGGTGTATGCTGAGTTTTCCTAGTGTAAGGAAAAGAGTTTGATGGAGGGTACACATACTAAATGTGATACCGAAGGTCATATTTCTGCATTGTCAAATTTGCTGGATAATAGCATTTAGTACTTGGATAGGCTTTGTTCATAGGTTGGATGTCAAGAGTTGCTCCTGAGCAAAGAAGTAAGCTAGTTAATTGTTTTCTAGTGTCACTTCATTTGGAGGAATTCAGAAAACAGTGAGTGACAACTATTTTACACTCTCCTTTTTAGTGAAAGAAAGTGAAGAAAAGGAGGTGCTTCTGAAAACTAATCTTTCTGGACGACAGAGCCCAAGTTTCAAACTCTCCCTGTCTAGTGGGACAAAGACTAACCTCAGCAGCCAGTCGTCGGCAGCAAGCCTTCCTGGCTCTCCAGGGTCACCTGGGTCCCCAGGCTCTCCGGGCTCTCCTGGATCCGTCCCTAAGAGTACATCTCAGACGGCAGCTATTACCACAAAGGTACACTTCTCACTCCCCATGTGCTGGCCCTTCTCTACCATGCTTTAAGCTTTCTCAGTGGTCGGTGTACCTGGGTTTGCTCTTTGCTTCTCTCTTCTGGAACTAGCTAACTGCTGTGGACTAGAGGGTGAGACCTCGTCACAACCACTACCTGAGCTCACATCAGCGTGTCCAGTGCAAAGTTCAGTCTCTTTGATGTTGTTCACTATCTTTATTACCTTTCCCAATTAGAAACCAGCTCAAAACTTGGGAGGGGAAGCAGGAGTTTTCTGTTTGTTGTTTGATTGGTTTTGTTTTGTTTTGTTGTTTTTTTTTAGGTTAACTACTATCGCTAACATTTCATATAAGAAGGAATAAAATTCTGATACTGAATATGTAGACAACATCTCTTTAATAAAAGCATTCATTTGGTGGCTTTTGCTACTTAAGCATGCCTTCCCCCAATGTACATAAAACTAATAGCAGTTAGACCAGACTAATTAAATCCATAGTGCCATCCAGTCCCTTTTGTTCTTTTTTAAAGTACATTTGTGTGTGTGGACATAACACAGCACATGTGGGGGTCAGAGGGCAACTTGAAGGAATCAACTCTCCCTTCCACCATGTGGGTCAAGCTTAGGTCATTGGGCTTGGTAGAAAGTCCCCTCACCTGCTGTGCCATCCCACAGTCTCATTTCATTGACACTGGCTAAGGCTGAGTCAGAGGTGTTGAGATGAAGCTGTAGGCTGAGAGCAGAGTACTAGGGATTTTCATAGTCAGATTGTACTGTAGGAGTTGGAGAAGTAGGCTGAAAAGGAAATCCAAAAGAGAGTGACAGAGAGATCATAGAACTACTTCCTATCTGCCTCCATTTTGAGTGATCTGTCTTCTGCATGTTGATACATACCATTTTAGATTTTATTTTGAGGTAAATTTGAGCCAGCCATTGTAGTGCAGGCCAATAATCCTAGCTCCTTTGGAGACTGAGAAAAGAAGATTGCTAGTTCAAGGCCTGCCTGGGCAACTTAAGTGAGACCCTGGCTCAAAAAGTAAAAATGAGGGCTGGATGTGTAGCAGTAGTAGAACCATTGACTTGAGACAAATGAAGCCCTGGGTTCAGTCCCCAGTGCCATTTAAAATCTGTTAGTCATAAGCCATTTTTCAGTGATATCTGTTAACTGGGTCGTTTTCTAATAGTATGTAATTTTTTTGTTGTTACTGTTTTAATTTTTAATAGCTTAAAAGAACCTTAAAAGTACGAACATTTAAAATATACATAAGCCGGGTGGTTGCGGCGCATGCCTTTAATCCCAGCACTCAGGAGGCCGAGCCAGGTGGATCTCTGTGGGTTCGAGGCCAGCCTGGTCTACAGAGAGAGCTCCAGGACAGGCACCAAACTGTACAGAGAAACCCTGTCTCGAAAAACCAAAATAAAATATACATAAAAATAGAATGGCTTTCAGCATGCTGCCATTAGGCCTGTACTTTTTCTGGGTTTAACACTTGTATTTTAAAATGCAGTGTTTTTTTCTGAACAGGGAGGACTCGTGGGTCTGGTAGATTATCCCGATGATGATGAAGATGATGATGAGGATGAAGACAAGGAAGACACGCTACCACTGTCAAAGAAAGCGAAATTTGAGTCCTAATATTAGCAACTGCCTGTGATCAGTACCTGTTGACAAAACTGGTTCTTTACCCCTCCCCCCTACAAAGTCCACATCAAAGCGCAGTGGTCTCTTGTGAGTGACTGACATGAATCAGCAGCACACTGGACTTCTGCTCATCAAGTGCCAATTCAATGGAGCAGGAGGAGGGGGATGCCGTGCAGTTAGGGGGAAGACATAAGCCTGTGAGCTCTCCGGCTTGGACCACATATTGCCCTTTTCTCAGGGAAGGAAATGGAAATCAAAAGCCAACAGGGCAGGGGTTTTGTCAGTGGAACTCTGGATTGACTGGTCAGTTGCTACAATCAGAACTTGCTTTCTTGGACCATGTTTGAGACGTAGAAGAATGGGTCTTTCTGCCATAGTTCCTCACTAGTAAAGAATGCCAGCAGTTTCTTTGTTTAAAGAGACCTGCCTTTAAAACCGTACATTCTGAACATTTTAGTCAAGCTACAACAGGTTTGGGAAACCTCTGTGGGGGAGGGGCAAAATAAAGTATCCTTTTTTTAATCTGTTCCCTTTGCCCTTCAAACTGCAGATTTTTTTTTTTTTTAAGGTGGGGATTTGTCCCTACTTGATTAAAGATTGAGTGGAATTCTAGATGTGGTCATTTGTGTCATAATTTTTCTTTTTGTTTCAGTTTGTTTGTTTTGTTTTTCTCCCCCTGAGTGTATGATTAGTTGTTGAATATATATATTTGGGACCATTAAAACATTTTTGATGTAATATAGCCTAACGTGCTGGCACCTGCTTTACATGTGTAATTTGTGTTCTACATCACAGTTCTTAATTTGTTTAGAGTTTTATGAAAGATGGTATAGTTTTTATTGACAAAAGCAAAGTAATCTTACAACTATGTGCATAAAAAAGCAATACTATTTTGTGACTAAATATTTTATATTAAAATTTGCATCAGCATCTGTCTTGAGATTTCAGGGAAATAGAATGGAATTTAAAACTTCGACAGTTTTGTTAAACCTAGAAACATGAAATTAGTATTCCAAAGAGATTCAGAAATTTCATATCTTGGAGAAATGACGGTACATTAAATCAAAATTGAGGATGGATGATTTAAAAGTAATACTTGACTTTTGAATAATAAAAAGAAAAGTGAAGAGTAAGAGAAATTGTATTAATTGTATGTTTCTTTTCTTTCTTTCCTTTTTCAACATATGCCCTTTGGAATACCAGTTTAAGCTGTAAGTGGTGGTACCTAAATAAACACCCAAGGAGCATTATGTGACACCTTATTAAAACAGTATTTTGGGGTCTGGGGATGTAGCTTAGTAGTAGAGTGGGTTGGGGCAGCTTTCATTTTTAGCTCCATTACTACCTAAAAAACGTGTTCTTGAATAGGGTCTTTATTGTTAGACACAGGATGACTTCAAGGAAATGAGAATGTCAGGGTTCCAAAAGTCTCACTTTTTTAAAGTGGAAAAAAATGGAACTTTATAGTTGCAAATGAGTAAAATTTCATACTCAGGAAAGGACATAATTGTACCCAGCCAAGCAGTTTGTGCATCTGTCTTTGATGCTTTATTCCTTAGTAAGATCAGGAGCTTTAGAATATTATTGGGCATGGTAGTACATATAATCCCAGCATTTGGGAAGCTGAGGCAGGTGAATCTTTGAGTAAGAAGAAACTTTATAATAAATTGTAAAAGATTAATTCATTTCACTATAGATCTGCTTTTTTAAAAAGATATTTTATTCAGGTGATAGCAGCACACTTCTTTAACCTCAGCACTCTAGAAGCAGAGGCAGGCAGATCTCGTGAGTTCAAGGCCACCTTGGTCAACAAAGTGAGTTCCAAGACAACCAAGGCCACACCGAAACCCTGTCTCAAAAAACAAAGTTTTGTATTTTATGTTGATGGTGTTTTCTTCATGTATGTTTCTGTGCCACATATCTGCAGTACCTGGGGAGGACAGAAGTCAGATCCTCTGGACCTGGAGTTACAGATGGTTGTGAGCAAGCAAGTGGGTACTGGGAAACAAATCCTGGTCATCTGTAAGAGTAACAATTGTGTGTAACCACTAAGCCTCTCTTCAGCCCTCTCTTTGACAGGGCCTAGCTCTATGACTAGCTGGCTTAGAACTCACTATTTAGACCAAACTGGCCTTAAACTAGCTAGCTAGAAGTAGTCCTAGCTCTTTCTCCTGAGTGCTGGGATCATTGCACCAACATAAAGTTAGAGCTACTTCTGAGTCAGAAATTCTGGCTGTTAACACCTATCTTGTTTTTTGTTGTGTTTTATTTTTTTGACCAAGTCGCACTGTGTCCTTGGCTGTTTGGAACTCAGTATGTAAACTAGAGTTACATACTCTGCCTCTGCCTCTGCCTCTGCCTCTTACAATGCTAGAGTGTTAGGCTGGAGAGGTGGCTCAGCAGTTAAGAGTGCTGGCTGTTCCAGAGGTCCTGAGTTCAATTCCCAGCAACCACATGGTGGCTCCCAACCATCTATAATGGGATCTGATGCCCTCCTTCTGGTGTGCAGGCATACATGTATACATGACAGATAAATAAGTCTTTAAAAAAAAAATGCTAGTGTATGTGCTCACCATACTTAAATCAACTTGTTTATATAGAGAAAGGAATAAGGTCTAAGTCAAATACTGTCTTTACTGTTACTTAGAACATTTTGTGTCAACTAATGATGGTGGCTTAAACATTTTTTTTAAGCATCTCTAGCTGAACTCATCTTTTCATGATCTTTTCAGAATGATTTTTTGGGCACTTGCTTTGATATTTTAGGAATGCTTGGACAGAGGACAGACTCATCACTTCATAAATCACCTAGTTATTTTAAAGAAATCTTTGTTAACCTTTGGCCACACTTTTCATATTATTGCTTTCTTAACTCTTAGTGCAAACGATGAAGATTCACTACGTAATAAGTCCAAAAGAACATCTGGTGGAGACCATTAGCCAGAAGTTACTAGATACTCAGCCCTCAGGTTGACGGTTTAACTAAAAAGCCACACAGTATTGTTTATGTTCTAGGAATTCAGCCCTGGACTCTAGTACCCAAAGCACATGATGTACCACTGAGCTACATAGCCCTGAGTTCACACTCCTAAACCCAAGTCTTGGTAGCTGGTATGAATATAATATGAATTATTTTTCACTTCAACGATACCAATACGTTCTTTTGCTCATTTTGTACTGTTTGGAGTGGGGGAAAAGAAAAAAGAAATTGCTCGAAGTGATGAAATCTTTGTAATCCAGGAAACATTTTGCCATCCACACTTCCACAAATGCTACCCTGGTAGTTTTCAGTGGATTGTGTTTGCTATTTCTTGCCCAGATGTACTCAGATCCTGTATGTAATTTCATCAGAACATTTCTCTGATCTTTGTTACTCAAGACACCCTGTCTATTCCTTAAAGGAAAGTTCTATCTTGTTTCAACTTTGTATCTTCAACACCTAACACCAAGTAACCTACCTACATGTGGCTCTCGCTCAGTACAGAAAAGAGCCATCTGTGCTCACTCTGCAAACTGGTTTACATAGTTAACAGTTTCTCAACTCTGAATTTCCCCTTTTAGTGGATAAAAATGGAGGACTCCAAACCTCCTCTTTATCTTGCTCTTCAGAGAAGTTTTATGAAACTAGAACTCTAATGTATTGGTATTGTTAATGTGTTTGGGTAAGTCTTAACTAACTCGTTGGATGTGATGGTGTATGCCCATGGTGTAATCCCAGGGGCAAAGGCAGCCTGACTTCTTGCATTTAAGGCCAGCCTGGTCTAAAGCAAGTTTCAGGACATCCAGGGCTACACAGAGGAACTCTGACTGGGGGGAGGGGGAGGGGTTACTAATTACTAAAGTCTAATCTTTCCTGGCCCTACCCTCTCTGCTCGGGATGGGTTCAAGCAAGCCAGGCTCACCTTCCAAGTGCCTGGAACTTCAGACATGTTCTGCACGTGGCTGGTTTTGAGACAAACATTTTGACAACATAGTTCAGGTTAGCATTGTATTTATTCACCACCGCTGCCCACATATAAGCACAAACTTCCATTAATACAGAAAGAAAAATAGGTAAATTTTACTTTTAAAATGCAATCCGAAATAACTAGTTTATATGCTTTCATAACTTAAGCACTACTGTAGAGGAAGGTGAGGATATAACAGCCTCCATGATGGTCGTAATGGGGTGGCTCTGAGAGGTACAGACTTCACATGTGAGAACACAGGAAAACTGGGTGTTCTAAGATTCTCAGGGTTGCTACTCAAGTTCTTGAGGGTCCACCTTTGGAAGGATGAGGAAAAAAAGGAGGGCCACAAACAAAAGAGGCTGAATGAGCATTCAGGAAGCCATAGTGTGTAAGTCCTATCTGTCCACTGGTTGGTCAGCTGACTCTTGGACCGATTTCTGGTAATTAAAAAGTTATGGACGGAATGTAGGGGCTGGAGATGTAGCTTAGTGTTACCACACTGGCTTGCAATGTGGTAGACCCTGGATTCGGGTCCCGGCAAGAGCATAGAAGTAAGTTTCTTGATCCTTACCTGTACTGAAAACTACAAAGTAACTGAGGGCTCTAGAAAAGGGTGTGTGGGAAATAGCTGTCCCAATGGCATGCTACCAATGGAGTATTGAATACGTCAGCACTGCAAAAGATTGTGTGTGTGTGTGTTTGTGTTTGTACTTACTTTGGGAGTTGCTGGTGAGTCAAATCCAGGGCAAATGTTCTACCACCATGCCAAAATCCAGCTCGCTCTCTCTCTCTCTCTCTCTCTCTCTCTCTCTCTCTCTCTCTCTCTCTGTGTGTGTGTGTACAGTGTGGGTTGAACTGGGACTTCCTACTTGGTAAACATTGACTTAGCCACTGAGCTACATCCCCACCCTTAAATATATTGATACAGTGAAAACCTGGAGGGAGATGCCTATAATACTTCATCTATAACTGAAATTTTCTGCTCTTAGTCATTCAGAATATGCAGCAAGAATGGTATATTGGTTAAAATTAGATACCTAGAAATGATGGAGAGAACTTTGTAAATCTCATTAAATGAGGTAAAGTACCCCCCCCCAAAAAAAAAAAAAACAGTTTCAGAATTAAAGAATCAAAGGCATATTGAAAAAGGCTACATCTATTCAAGAGTCTCAGATAAGAACAGTGGCATTCACTCCCATTTCCACCTACCCACTGACTGCCTGGTCCTTAGCCAACCTTGAGGTAGTTCTAATGATGCAGGACAGCATTGAAAGATGCAGCCTCTGCCATACTTGGTTGGAAGTTTAGGGGGGGAAAAAAGACTCAGATTACTGGGCTGGAGAGATGGCTCAGAGGTTAAGAGCACTGGCTGCTCTTCCAGAGATCCTGAGTTTATTCCCAGCAATTACATGGTGCCTCACAACCATCTAAATGAGATCTGGTGCCCTCTTCTGGTGTGCAGACATACATGCAAGCAGAACACTATGCATAATAAACCTTAAAAAAATAAACCTTTAAAAAAAAAAACTTAGATTCCTAAACTCAAATCTATTAATGGCTCAGCAGTTAAGAGGGCCAGGTTCGGGGGCTGGAGAGATGGCTCAGAGGTTAAGAGCACTGGCTGTTCTTCCAGAGGTCCTGAGTTCAATTCCCAGCAACCACATGGTGGCTCACAACCATCTGTAATGAGATATGGCGCCCTCTTCTGGCATGCAGGCAGAACACTATACATAATAAATAAATTAATTAAAAAAAAAAAAAAGGGCCAGGTTCAATTCCCAGCACCCACATGGTGGCTCACAGTCATCTGTAACTCTAGTTCCAAGATGCAAGTGCAAGCAAATGTCACACACACACACAGATACATGCTGTGGAAATTCCCATACACATAAAAATAACTTTTAAAAAATACATTCAGGAGCCAGGAGGTGGTGGCACATGCCTTTAATCCCAGCACCCGGGAGGCAGAGGCACACGGATCTCTGTGAGTTCAAGGCCAGCCTGGGTTACAAAGTGAGTTCCAGAACAGGATCCAAAGATACACAGAGAAACCCTGTCTCGAAAAACAAAAAAAACTCACAGAGATCCAATATTTTCTTTTTTTAACGTGTGTGTGTGTGTGTGTGTGTGTGTGTGTGTGTGTGTGTGTGTGTGTCTGAGTCTGTGTATGCACATGTGCTTGTGGATGCCCATGGAGGCTAGAAGAAAACATCAGGTCTGGAGCTGGATTACAGGCAGCTGTGAACAACCAGACATGGGTGTTGAGAACCAAACTCTGGTCCTCTGCAAGAGCAGCAAGTGCTTTTAACCTCGGAGCCATCTCTCCAGCCAGGAACAGAACTTCTAAAACACGTTTGCAAGGCTGCCTAATAGGACATCTCTGGAGCTCACAGATCTTAAATTTGAATGTTTTGTCCGAGTTAAAATAATTCTGTTTGGACAGGAGATATGTTAATGTGGACAAAGCAAAGAACAATGCAGAAACTCCCGGAAGCACCCCCCAAAAAGTCAAAATGATCTGGGGAGAGGTGGTTTGTGTCCACAGAATTTCATTTTCTTTAAGATTTGTTTTTTAAAGCTGGCATGTGATGGCACATACCTTTGATCCCAGCAATAGGAGACAGAAGCAGGTGGAATTTTGAATTCAAGCCCAGCCTATGTGGTGGTATTGTGTTCCCCAAAATATTGTGCATGCTAATAAACTTCTCTGGGGTCAGAGAAGCAAACAGCCACAATATTAAACATAGAGGTCAGGCAGTGGTAGCACACGCCTTTAATCCTAGCATTCCAGAGGCAGAAATCCCTCTGGCTCTCTGTGAGTTCAAGGCCACACTGGAAACAGCCAGGCATGGTGACTCATGCCTTTAATCCCAGAAAGTGAACCTTTAATCCCAGGGAGTGAGGGCCAGAAACTAGAAGCATTTGGCTGGTTAAGCTTTTAGGCTTTTGAGCAGCAGTTCAGCTGAGATTCATTCTGGATGAGGACTCAACAGGCTTCCAGTCTGAGAAAACAGGATCAGCTGAGGAACTGGCGAGGTGAGGTAGCTGTGGCTTGTTTTCTGTCTCTCTGATCTTGCAGCGTTGACCCCAATACCTGGCTCAGGTTTTATTTTATTAATAAGACCTTCTAAGATTCTTTCTACAAGTCTACAAAATGAGTTCTAGGACAGCCAGAACTACACAGGAAACCCTGTCTCAAAAACACAAAACAAATTGCTTACATGTTATGAGGGTTTTACTTGCATATATGTGTACCATATACCCTACTGGTGCCCTTGGAAGCCAGAAGGAGTGTCAGATCCCCTGAAACTGGAATAACAGATGATTGTGAACTATCATGCAAGGAACCAATTCAGGTCCTCTGCAAGAACAATCAGTGCTCTTAACCAGTGAGCCATCTCTACAGCTCTAGTTTATGCCAAATACTGGAATAATCTGCCTGCGGAAGGCCAATGGACACAGAATCTGTGTGATGCTATACCTCTTAAGGATTTAAACATAACAAAAAAGAGAAATGGAAAAAGAAAAAATGGGGAAGGATTAACACATTTAACAAAAATACCAGATTTATATCCATATTCAGAAATATGAAACATTGTTGAATGAAACTTAAAAAAATGTTTAAATAAGTGCAAAATACCTCACGCACATTGGATGACAGTATTGTTCAAGTGGTAGATCAACCCCATTTAATACCCCCCCAAAAAGAAAATCAAAAAACCTGGTTCCTGCAGAACATCACTTGGGAAGCAGGGACAGACAGACAGATAGGCCAGCCTGGTCTACATAACAAGTTAAGTAAGCCATGGCTAGACAGTAAGACTATCTGGAAAAGAAATCCTTCTTCCATTCAAGAATTGTAAAAGCAACATATGCATTTATATCAAGATATGAACCGACATTTTAGAATGAAAGAGGCCGGTGGAGGGACACCACTTGGCAGTTCAATTTTCCCTGAAGCTCAGCCCCAGCCTGGAGCTTAGGGCGAACAATTCTCATCAGAGCAAGAGCAGCAGACTGGGGCAAAGATGAGGAAGACACAGTGGTTACACACCGCTGTAAAGATTTTACGTCCCTCACTCGGAACTTCCAACTTACCTTGTAAAAACCCTTGCACAGGATTTGCTTTCCCCAGGCCACCCCATCATTTGAAGCCTTTCTAACCATAAATAGGCCACCCTTGGGGTTCACTGCACAGCTGTCCACAGGGAACAGGGAGCTGGGGTAAATCTAGCCAAGTCCATCAGTGATCATGCACCACCTCAGCTACATAATAACTAAGGCCATTTCTGTGTCACCTGGTATGAGCTTACACAGTATGTACAGCTAAAAAGTGGAGTGAGTTTTGTGGTACATTAATCATACATACTGTTTCATTGACATTGTTAGGTATGTACATAACTGACCCAAAGTGAAAATTCCCCGGGGTGGCTGTGTTAAGGACTGTCAACCTCCCAAGGGGAGAAATTATTCCCACACTAGAATGAAACGTCTCACAAACAGTAACAGCATTTGCTCCATGCATTTCTTGGTTTGAAATAATATGCTTGTTTATTGAAGAGCTAGAAGGATTTCTCATCTTTAAAAAATTGGGTGAGTACAGGAAAAAAAAAAAAAAAACTCAAAAAATAGCTCTTATTTTCCAAACAGGGTGGTCTATGCTGACCCCCATCCCTGCAGTCCTCAAGCTCATTATGCAGCCCAGGCTAGCCTGGAACTCAAGATCCTCCTGGATCAGCCCCACCAAGTTCTGTGATTACAGAAACCAGGACTGCCATCGTTTTTTTGTTTGGGACAGGACGTCACTGAGCCCAGGCTAGCCCCAAAGTCGTTATGTAGCCAAGGATAATGCCAACTCCTGATCCTTTTGCCTCCATGTCCACAGGGACTGAGATTACAGACTCGTCCCATAAGTCCCACCCCACCTTCTTTTTGGATAAATTTATTTATTTTACTTTTTATGAGTTTTAGTGTTCTGTCTTCATGAATGTCTGTGCACCATGTGTGCCTGGTGCTCACAGAGGCCAGAAGGCATCAGATCCCCTTGTGGGTGCTGGGAATCAAACCTGGGTCCTCTGGAAGAGCAGCAAGTACTACTAATCCTTGACATCCCCTTCCCGCCACCACCACCCCTTTTTTTGTTGTTGTTGTGACCCTAACTTCTACAATTCTGGGATCCTTACTAGTCTAGCGGCTAGTCTATTTAACATGCTTTCCAGCCAGGTGGAACTGTAATACTGCATGTCATCAGCAGATGTCGCAGCCCTAATATGTGACAAAGCCACACTGCAAAATTGCTAGCCAAAGGGCAGCCATTGAGTACCTGGTGTGTATTCACTAAGCAGTGTGCCGGGGACTTCGGGTTAACACTCCCACAACTCAGGGAGGATTCAATACGTCAGTCATACAGTGTTCATCGAACAACGGCCCAGCTCGCGGAGGGAAGTTATTTCCAGGAAGTGGCGAGGGAGTGAGGCTGTGAAGCCTCCAAGCACACAGCCCTGCCAGCAGGGGGCACGGCTTCCATCGAGCTTGGGGGCCTTGCCTCAAAGCTACTGCGGCACCCTGCGGCGCCCTGCGGCCGGGGCAGGCTCTCCACCCCTGGGTGCAATGGTGGAGCTGGGGTAGAGCCACAGCAGGGGCGCCCACGGGTGAGGCGGCCACACCGCCTGCATCCTGAAGGAACTTCTGGAAGGGAGGAACCCGGGAGACAGCAGAGCCGATGCACCGGTGCGCGATCCTGCAGCCAGAGGATAATACCGGGCCCCTCTCCCACCCGGGCCAGCACCGCGCCCAGGTCTGCGCGCGCAGGCTGCACCTGCCCGCGCACTCGGGCCGCCACGTGCTGTGGCCCCGCCCCGCTCCCCTCCCCACTCCCCACGCGCTCCCCCGCCCCTTTGGGCCCTGCTCGGCTCCGCTAGGCTGCGCAGGGCGCCGGGCGGCCAGGGAGGGACCGCGTCGCCCCTCCCTCCCCTCCTCGCCCCCACCCTCTCGCTCGCCCCGGGCGGGCGGGGCCGCAGCCGCGCACCGTGGGCTCGCGCCCCGCCTTTGTCTCCCGCGCCCGCCGCCGGCTGCCCGAGCCGCTTTGTGCGGCGCGGCCGCGGCTCAGCATGGACGTGACGGTGTCGCAGCTCGTGGAGCTGTTCCTGCAGAGCCCGCTGGTGACCTGGGTGAGCGCGTCCTGGCCTTCCTCCTCCACCCCGTGCGGCGCTGGTCACCGGGAGGCTCCGAGTCGGGTGGCCGTCCCGCGGGCTTCGCATTCGGGAGCGCGCACCTGTTCCCGCTCGGGGTGCCGGGGGGGGGGGGCGGGGGGGCGCTCCTGAAGTCCAGAGCCCCGCGCTGGGGACGCAGCGTGGGAACGCGGACCCACGGGCTGGGCGCGCTGCTTTCCAGTGAATCTGAGACGTGAGAAATTTGTTGAAAAGTCCCTTTTATTTGCTTTTTTTGTGTTTGTTTGTTTTCTTTCCTCGCGCTCTGGGACACTTGAGAAAAGTAGCCAGAAGTTTTCCTCCTGTCCGGCGTCTGTTGCCTGGCGCGGGAAGGGGACAGCGCTCGGGAAGGGTGGGCTTGCTCCTTGCCAGGGGTGTCGCGGTGGTGGGTGACCTCCCTGGCCCGCCTGGCCCCCAGCGTCAGACCGACTTGCCTTTGCTTCCTCGCAGGTGAAAACTTTTGGCCCGTTCGGAAGCGGCCACCAGGACAACTTGACTCTGTACATGGATTTAGTGGACGGCATCTTTTTGAACCAAATCATGTTGCAAATGTAAGTTGCCTCTTCAGAGAGGATGTTTTTGGAAGCCTGAGATTGTAGTGTGAATGCCGAGTGGCCGGGGAGGGGTGCTTGCAGGTGGGCGGTTGGACTCTCCCCGGCAGCTTATTCAATTAAGGAAATTTGGAACTGACTCATCTGCAAACTCAAGGACTTGATGGTGGTCTGAGCACTGACATTAAAAGCCTCTTTTCTTTTTTGGGGGGGTGGGGGTGGGCACACAGAACTGTTGTAGTGAGGGTCTGATTACAGGAAATATCCGGAGGGTGTGCAGCATCTCAGTGTGGCTGTAAAGTTTCACTATGGCTTGGTAACTGAGTTTCTGAGTCTTCTTCCCGTCTCTTCTTGCCAGTTGCTGGGACAGAAGGAGTCATTTGTGTGAATTGGGTTCAGAAGTCTCCTTTGGAAGGCACACAGGCAGTCATGCTCTGCCTGGACCGTTTGGCCTTAAATGAGGTCTCCGTAGATATATACTGCTTGCCTCTGACCACATCCGTTGCCGAGTTCTGCACAGCCTGTGTCTGTCTGACATCTTACCACCATGGAGGTGTTGGCTCTATCCCTGCATTCCGTGTTTAACTTAGAAGCTTCAGGGATGGTATTGGAAGTGTCAGTATGAATCACAGGCACTTGGAGCAAAATAAAAACACCTCAGTGTGCTCTGTGGACCTGCTTACATTTACCCACTCACCTAGGACTGATGGAGGTGCCACACTCAGTCATCCATTAGCTAATTAAAAAACAGCTTCTATTTGTAGCAGGGGGCAGATTAGGGGTGGCTTCCCAATTAGATGGCTCCACTTGTTTCATAGGACATTTGATGTCACAGTGGTGGAAACCCTGTCATCCTTTTTCCAAAAATTTCTTTCAATCTCGAGTCTTCAGCGTTTAACCAGATTCTAAAGAGATACATTTGCTGGTGGCTTTGGCGGCGCTTCTAAGGACTCTGATGAAAATGGGTTTTTCTGGGGTTGCCTCGAGGCCGGCTTGGGCTCTGGCCACTCTCTCCCCATCTGTCAGACCCCAAGAATAGCTGGGTTCCCTTGGTATAAGGACCATCAGAACTTCAGCCTATCCCTGTAAAGCTTGAGGCTGTTTAATTAAGAAACACAGCAGTGTCCCCAGGCTTTCCCTTAGCTACACCCAGGCACAGGGGAGAACAAAAGCCCAGAGGCCAGTTCTCTTTCTTCTCTGACCTTTGGAATTCCTGAAGCCTTTACCACTTGCTTGTAAATCGGGAAGCCTGTTGGACCTTTCTGAGAAATGCCAATTCATCACTTGTTTGCATTTGGCCCTGGCTAAATTCTGTCAAAGGGTCGGCTGCTCCCCTCCCTGGCAGTTTTCCGTGCTGATTTTCCCTCTGTGATATGCTAGTGTGGTCATTCTGGAAGAAGGACCTGGTAGGTATGCAGCAGTCCTGGGGCAGCCACAGAGACAATGAGTGGTTTCCTGTACCAGGAAGGACAGGCAGGAGTGGGTGGGCACAGGAGCTGCCAATCATAATTTTCTGCTTCTAGGGAATCATAACTTGGTGCCAGGTAACAGGCGTCAGAATGTGTTTGCCTCTGGAAGGAAGTGTGTGGGGCTTGACTGCCACGGGGCGTGTGGAATGGCTCCCTGGAATGTATTTTCCCAAACTCCAGGCTGCGACTGAAGATATGCACATTTTACTCCTTGTAAAAGTAACCTCTAAAAACACAAATGGGGCGTCTGCAGTTTTCTAGTATTTACCTGGAGTGTCTAGGGTCCTGGGCTCCATACCTGCCACCTTAAAATGTGGGTAACGAGTCGTGAATCTAATTAGTCTTAATAAAAACCTGGAGTCAGATATCGAGGTTGAAAGCTGAAAGATCAGAGAAGCAGAGCAGCAGCCACGAGAGAGTTCTTACCTCCATGAATCCTCAGACCAAAAGGGGGGCGCGATCCTGTCTCTACCTGCCCTATATCCCTGTCTTCACCTCCCTAGTGCTGGGATTAAAGGTGCACTGCCATCGCCTGGCTCTGTTTCTCTTTTGAGAGAACAATCTCGTGTAGCCCAGGGTGGCCTTGAACTCCTGATTTTCCCTCTTCCTCCTCCCAAGTGCTGGGATTAAAGGTGTATGCCACCACTGCCTGGTCTCTATGGTTAACTAAGTAGTTAGCTCTGCACTCTGATCTCCAGGCAAGCTTTATTTGTCAGAACACAAAATATCATACAACAGTAACTAAAAGAACCTTGGGTGAGTTCTTCTGCCAGATGTGGTGGCTCACAACTGTAATCCTAACACTTGGTCAGGAGATCCAGGCCAGTCTCAACTACATAGAAAGTTCAAGGCCAGCCTGGGCTATATGAAACGTTATCTCAAAAAACAAACAGGGCTGGAGAGATGGCTGGATGGTTAAGAGTACTGGCTGCTCGTTCAGAGGACCTAGGTTCAATTCCCAGCACCTACAACTGTCTATAACTCCAGGTCCAAGAGATCCAACACCCTCACACAGACAAATGGCACATAAAGTAAAATTAAATGGAAAAACAAACAAAAACAACCCTGACCGAGAGTTGGGCATCCTACGTGGTCAGACATGGCTTGAGCCCAAGGTCATCTTCCTACTAGCAGTGTGACATTGGGATTCTTGCTTGGTGCCTCAGTTTCCTCATCTGAAAATCGGGGAAGTAAAGTTCTGCCCTATGGAGTTGGTCCTGGGGATTAGATAAGATGATGTGCTGGTACCTAGCTTGGTACTGGGAATGAGTGTTGGAGGTCAGTCACATACAGAGTGCTTGCTTTCTTCGGTCTACTTTTTAAAAAGAGAGAGAGTGTGTGTGTGTCTGTGTGCGTGTATCTGTGTGCGCGCATACACACACACTCATGGAGTCAGAGGACAGCTTTCGGAGTTGGTTCTCCTTCAGTGATGTGGTTCCCCGATTGAACTCAGACCTAGCAGCAAGTGCCTTGACTTGCTGAGCCATCTCACCAGCCCCTCTGCAAATCTTTCCCTGTGTTCAGTCTCTTAAAAACCAAACGATTCCCAGCCTTGGTTTTTTCTAGCTGAGTCTAAGGTCCAGCCTAACACTTGACTGACTTCAGCTGGGCCTTAGCCTCCTGCTTCTGCCCAGCAGAGCGGTGTCAGTGATCCGGTGGTGACCAGTGGGCAGGTGTTACCTCCTGTGCTGGGTGCTTGGAGACCACTGTTGTGCCATTTTTTGATAAATTCTCCCGAGTTGGGAGCCGGTGGCCTTTGGAAATGACAGAGCAGTGTGGCTGACTGGTTTGGGGTGGGCTGAGATAAGAGGCTGTTACCTAATACTTCAGTGCCATCTGGAGGCTGGCTGTGGTCACGTGACTGCACCTGGCCATTGTCTATGGCAACCCTAGAAGGCTGGAGTAGTCTCTTGGCCCTGGCCTCCCTGACATCAGGCCCACCTGGAAGCAGGAAAGCCCTACAGGCTCAGCTTTCAGGGGAGGCCCAGGGCTAGGACTCCTGAGTGGGAGAGTCCTCTGAGTGGTCTGTAGAGCAAACTGTCTGTGAGGACTGATAGGAAACTTTCGAAGTCTTGTTATTTTCAGGCAATGCTAGCTAGCTTCCATCACTCACTAGTTCTGCTACACTGGGCAAATTGCTCCATGCCCTGAGCCTTGATTTCTTCATCTGTGATAAGGGGGTAGAATTTTGTAGATGTGGGGAAGGTTAAGCAAGATCGTGCATATTAATGTCCAGATGTCATTAGTGTGGTATGAGTGAAGCAGGGCTGGGAGTGTGTGTGTGTGTCTGTCTGTCTGTCTGTCTGTCTGTCTACGCATGGTGTTGTGCATCTGTGCTTGTGAAGGAGCCTCAGTGGACTAGGGGCTCTGCCTGCTGACTTCTTTTGCCCTTGCTAGGATGGTGGCAGATTCACCACAGCCTATTGCTTATTCAGATTCTCGTGACCCCCTGGGCATCTGACCCCCATTTCTAGCAGCCAGTGTGGGGCACTGAGTGGGTAGAAAGCAGATTTGCCTTCCTTAAGCAATGCTGAAACTTTTGGTTTATTTCCTAATAAGTGTTCTTTACCCTGAGAGACTTGGTTAACTGAGGGACTGCTAATGATCATGATAATTAGTTTAATTAGTCATATAACTAATGTCAGGGTTCTTTTCTAGTGTTCCATCAATTAGCTGCTTCTTCCCATGCCTGGGGAGAACAAAAGCAGACATGGCTGTGCATCCCAGGTCCTGGGTGTGTGCAGAGCTAGTGAGTGGCTGTCAGTGGTCCATACCGATGCTGTGGGTACCTGGCACTCCTGAGGTGACCCCTCTGGTGTAGATGCAATCAAGAGGCTGTAGATGTGGCTCCATTTGGTAAATGGTTGCCTAGTATTCTCATGCCCTGGGTTCAGTCCCTGGCATTGCACGTAGTAGGTGTGGTGGTACGTACACTCTTGGAATCTTGGTAGGAAATAGAGGCAGGGGGATCAGAAGTTTAAGGCAGCCTGGGCTACATAAAACCCTGTCTCAAAGAAAAGAAATTCAGGATTGAAATAACGAAACTGTTGCACATCCTAACACCCACAGTCCCAGTTACTTCAAAGGTTGAGGCAGGAGGATTGTAGGTTGAATGCCAGCCTGAGCCACATAATGAGAATCTGTCTCAGAAGTTAAAAGAAAAGAAAGGGGGGGGGGGTAGGGATTGGTGGTGGGTGTTTGCCAAACATGTGTGCAGCCTCAGATTCATTCTCTAACTCCCATCAAACAAGAAATTAGGAAAGCCTGCAGCTTCTCACAGATTCATGTGTTTGGTCCTGTGAAACCGCTGCTCATTCCTTAAGATAGCTCCTTACTTTGTCACGTTAGGAAGGCTTCTGTAACGAAAATGCCTTTACAGTTGAAATACAGAATGCTGCCTCTTTCCTAAGTTCATTTCAGTGGGGCCCTAGGCCTTTATTTCCTTGGTTATGAAGGGCCCTAGAAGAAGCCTAACGGGATAAATGGTTTCACCAGACTCCATCATGGTGTGGGGACATTGAGGAATGTTAGTCACCTGACAGCCGAAAACAGTTTGCCTGGTTCCCCTTAGGGGACCCACATGGCTGTTTAAGTAGCTTTGAAAGGCCTATGTGAGGCAGGGGCTGTTGAGTGCATGTGGGAAGGTTCGCATGCTTAGGGCATGGTGTGGAGACAGGATATGTCAAATATTTACTCAAAGGTTGACCGTTAAACAGCTTGCCTTACAAAAAAAGCCTTGTGCTTCCAGTGACATTTGAAATGATTCAAGATTTTCCTCCTCTTTCTCCATCTTCTGTTAATGTGGCCTGAATGAACCAGATAGCCCTGAGAATTGTTTCTGTAGCTCCCCACCAGCCCCGAGGAGGCTCTGCGTCTTTATCTCAGGGCTTGGCTGACAGATGAAACTGGGGAGGCTGGCCTTTGAGTTCCCTGCCCTTTATCCTTGGTTGTGCCTTGGGACAGCGGATGGAAGGGAGGTCTTTGCTATGAAAAGCAGGCTCCCCTTTCCACTTCGCTCTTCTTGGCAGACATTTCCCACACTGAGGATTTGGGGGACTGTCCTGCATGTAGATAAGCCAAGTTGTAAATCACTTGAGCTGAGGTCTAGTTCCTTCACAGCCAGACCGAGTTTCGCCTGAGGTTGGAAAAGGAGTAACACGTGGGGGTTTCCCACACTTTAGCTTTTCTTGTGGGGTGTGATGGTATCCCAGTCATATCCTAGACCTGAACGACAGGTTATGACGACATCATTGTGTCCCTGGAGTGCAAATCATGAGCAGGACCAACCAAATGACAGGGAGACAGACCTGTGCTGAGTGGATCATGATTCTTAAGGTCACAAAACATTGCCAGCCCACCCCCCCCCCACACACACACCCTTGTTTTCTGTTTTTCTTTTCTTTTCTTTTCTTTTCTTTTTTTTTTTAAAGATCTGTGGGTGTTTTATCTTCATGTGTGTTTGCACACTAGAAAAGAGTAACCCATGGGACTTCAGTTATAGACAGTTGTGAGCCACCATGTGGGTGCTGGGGATGGAACACAGGACCTTCGGAAGAACAGCCAGTGCTCTTAATCGCTGAGCCATCTCTCCAGCCCCTATTTTTCTTGATATTTCACGTATTCTTCTCTGTTTGGCTTTTGAATGCTAAAATACAGTTTTGGATAGGTTATTGGTTTTTATATATCTGTTTGTTGTTTTTTACCGTGTTGACACTTGGACGTCCCTCGTGGTGCTTCCAGCAGTGGAAACAGGAACAGTGCTGAGAAGGGCTGTGTTTGGCGGGGCCTTGGCTGCAGGGATGATGGGTCATCTAGGGTTCTGGCACAGCTGTGAGCAGACTTAGGGTTTAACTTGAACTATGGCGTCACAGCCTCCTGGCCACCACAGGAATAACTAGGCTCATGATACAGAATACTGACTGGTTCTCTGCTGGGGAAGGGAGTATAGTGATGCCTGGAGGTGTGACTTTTTGTTTGTTTGTTTGTTTTTGTTTTTGTTTTTCCAGACAAGGGTTCTCTGTAGTTTTGGTGCCTGTCCTGGATCTCGCTCTGTAGACCAGGTTGGCTTCGAACTTGCAGAGATCCACCTGGCTCTGCCTCCCGAGTGCTGGGATTAAAGGTGTGCGACACCGCTGCCCAGCGTGACTTTTACTCTGTTTCTTACTCTAGAGACCCCAGGCCCAACAATCAGCGTATCAACAAGCATGTCAACAATGACGTGAACCTGCGCATCCAGAACCTGAGTATCCTGGTGAGAAACATCAAGACCTACTACCAGGTGAGGCTGCTCTGCTGGCCCAGGGGTTCCTACAAGTCTGCAGTGGGGCCCCTCAGGTTCCCACATGTGTGCAGAAAGGCCTCTCAAGTAGGTGTACAGAGGCCCCTTCAGTGAGTTCCTATGTGTTTGCAGTGGGGCCCATCAAATGGATTCCCGACAGAAGCCAGAGTAAGTGGTCGCTGGCTGCTGACCCTTGGTGCTTCTGCATTAGCCCTGCTGTGGGGGGTCAGGTCAGGGGGTCGGGGGTGGGGGGCTCTTGCATTTCAGATTGGTTCATTCTGAATGTCATGAGGTCCTGGAGGGCCTTGGTTTGCAGCCTGTTCCTGTGTGTCAGTCACTTGGAGACTCTCTGGAAGGGGCACGTGGTTCATGCCCCTGGCTCCGTGGCTCTTATGCAGAGCCACTTGAGCTGAGGGAGAAGAGGAACCACAGAGGGCCATAGGGGCCAGAAATGGAACCCAGGCTTATGGAGGGACGGTTCCACTTTACACTGCTTGCTGTGCTTGATCAGATGTGCTGGCTGGGTCAGGGTGGCTGAGACTCTGTGCGTGTTCGTGAGCTCTCCTGCGTGGCCGGCACTGGTGGGAAATGAGCTGCAGCTGGGGGCCTCGGACCCCTGGCTTTTGAGTCTCTGCTTAGCAGTGAAACCGCCTTCTGATGTATGAGACCTCGTGACACTCCAGGCAAAACGAGTCACTCTCAATGTCGTGGTTCGAGAACCATTGTTTGTGCCAGGGTTTCTCCAGACCTGTGACCAGACTCTGCCCCTTCAGCTTCCTGGCCTGTACTGAGTCCTGGTGCTGGGAATCGGGGGGTCTTTGCAGATGTGGTGAGGTCTCTGTCTACCTGAGGACCCCGTGTTAGCCGAGGCTCCCCTCCGTCTCCACTGCTGACCTGAGCCAGCTGAGAGACAAATGGCAGAGGTGCCGTGGCTTGGGCTCGCCCTGGGCCCAGGTCCTCCCAGGGCCTGTGGGTGTTACAGGATCCTTGCTTCTCTTCGATGTGGGTTTGAAATGGGTTGGGAGAGGGAAGAAGTGGGCAGTGTCTTGGGTACTCGGTCATGATTGTGTCTGTCCTCCCATCGGGGAGGTGAGCTGTACCGTGTACACAGACTGTGCACCCCCACACCTGTGAACACACACACACATACAAGCATACCACATCCTTGTCACGTGCAAAACAAAACAAAAAAAAGAATGGGGTAGAGAGATGGCTCATTCAGTAAAATACTTCATGAGTAAGCATGCCGACCTGAGTTTGGTCCCTATACTCCATGTTTAAAAAAATCCAGACATGGTGGTGGGCACTTGTAATCCCAGTACTGGGGCAGCAGAGATGGGAGGACCCTTAGGACTCACTGGCCAGCCAGCCTAGCCTAATTGGTGAGCCTGAGAGATCTCAGACTCAGACCCTGTCTCAACAAAGTGGATTGACTTGAGGTTGACTTAGGACCCTAGGTACACACACACATGACTATTCAGAGCATCATTTTTGACGCTGAGATCTGAGCATAGCTTCCAGAGGCTCCCAACTGGTCCCATCCCTTCCTTCAGTGGCAGGTGTCTTAAGGAAGGGGCCAGCGGCTGAGGGAGATGCCTGAGAACCCAGCAGGGGCCAAGGTGGGTTCTCGGGGCTAATGGGAGCTCCACTTGTGGCTGGGTGTGCTGTAAGCAGGGGTGTTTCTTTATGCCAGCAGGTTAGAGGCAATGATGCTCTGTGAACTTGGCATCTCTGTTGAGAGGCCTGGGGGCTGCACTGGCTGACAGGACAGTCAGTATCTGCAGGTGCCATTTGTAACAAGCAGTGCCAGAGGAAACAGGTGGTACTAAGCATTCCAGAGACAAGGTCCCTACCCAGTCTCCGACGTGAAGTAGGGGAGACTTGGAGGAGATGCCACCGGAGTGGAATTCTCTGAGTGACTGAGTTTTCAAGTTTGTAGAGTCCCAGGAAGGCGGTGAGGAGGGAACAGAGTCTGGGTAGAGCCGGTCTTGGAGGCTCTGAAGAGTTCTGTCCCTTACTATTGGGAGCATATTTACTGGGAAGGTGACCCTGCATCTCAAAGTTGATGTGAGTCACAGCTGAGCAGAAGGAGTGTGAGGGAGACAGAGTCAGAATTCAGGATGGTCTGAACGCAAAGGTACAGCGGCAGCATCCTGCCCAGTTGGGGGCTCCCTGCTGTCAGTGGTTAGTGGCTGGGAGGGACCAGGGCTGGGCTGGGTGAAAGGTCTCAAGACTGTATGACTGAGAGGTGGTTGCTGCTTGAAGTTCCAGAAACTGTCACCCAAAGGAAGAGCTGGTCAACCAGAAGGACTTGGAGGTGGGAAAGAGGGCCCCGTGTTCCTGTCACCTCTTAGTTCTTTGAGAGTTGGGAATGGCATTGGGTGACTGTCTAGCTCCAGCTAAGCAAAGTGTTCATAAGCGCTTGCTGGGAGCGACAAAGGGTCACCATCCCCTCGTCCTGAAAAGAACGAGGTGAAAGAGCTGGTGAGGTGTGCTGGAAGCAGTGTTTTGTGTATTCTTTCCTTCTGACTTATGGGGAACAGAAATGCGGTTCTCACGTTAGAAGAATACTTGGTCTGTATAAAGAGCTTGAAAAACAAGTACCTTGAAGGCAGCTGGCACGTCAGCCCTCTACCAGAGACAATCGCCGACCGCGTTTAGTGTTTCCTCCATGTTGTTGGGTGAATGGGTTTTGTTTTGTGCCATCGTGGGCATGCCATAAGTATAACTAACTGCACATCCTGCCCTTTTCCTCCTGATGTAGTGCTGTAGCTTATTGATGTGAAGGGGGTATTCAATGGGCATTTTCCCAAGGAACCACTGCCCAGCTTCCCTGTTGGAAAGTAGCCCAGAGAGTGGGATAGAATGACCCACACGCCATTCCCAGCTGGACTCAGTGATGAGATCGGAGCCCCGGGGAGGCAGGAGCAGGGGGATGGAGAGCTTGAGGACAGCCTGGGCTGAACAGTGAGACTGTCTGACCAAGCCATCCCACCAAGAACAACTGTTGGCTCCTTCCTTTGTCTGGGGTGGCCAGGAGGGAGAGGGGTCCCCCCAGCAGGTGGGGGAAGGGGTGCTGTTGGGAAGATACCTTTTAAAATTATTATTTGCATGTATGGGTGTTTTGCCTGCGTGTGTGACCATGCATCACATGCATGCCTGGTGCCGTGGCGGCCAAAAGAGAGCATTGGATCCCTGGGAGTGGAGTTGCAGGGACTTTGTGAGTGGCTGTGTGGGCCCTGGGAGTCAGCCGTGGTTCCTCTGCAAGAGCAACAGGTGCTCCCAGTGCCTGTGCTGTCTGTAGCTCTGTTTCCTTGAGTGCAGGGCCTTGACCATGCTAGGCCGTTGCCCTGCCTGAGGTACATTTTCAGTCCTGCCTTGTGTGACCTTTAACCTCTGTCATCGGTAGATGCCGAGTGGTAGGTGCTGCTCCAACTCTGCCCCAGCCAGCTCTTGGGTGGTTATGTTAGATAAGCATATGGCAGCTGCTGTGAATGAGAAGTGTCTTGAGAAAGTGAACAGTTTGAAGAATGAAACATTTTTTTCTGAAGTTAGTGTGTGTGTGTGCATGTGTGGCACAGAGTTTGTGGGGAGGTCAGAGGACAGCTTCTGAGAGAGAGCCCATTCTCTCCTGCCACCATGTGGGTAGGCTTTGGCAGCAAGATCCTGCTGGCTGGAATGAAACATCGTCAGAAGTAAAATCAGCGTCAGGCAGGGTGGTCCTCACCTGTAATCTTAGTATTTGGGAGATGGAGCACAGGGGGCGGGGCAAGCATTGGAGCATCCTTGGCTACATTGACAGTTGAGGGGCAGCCTGGGCAACAGGAGACTTGGTCTTAAAAAATGCAAAAAGGCCGGGCTGTAGTGGTGCACGCCTTTAATCCCAGCATTTGGGAGGCAGAGGCAGGCGGATCTCTGTGAGTTCGGGCCAGCCTGGTCTACACAGTGAGTTCCAGGACAGCCAGGGCTACACAGAGAAACTCTTGTCTCAGAAACAAAACAAAATACAAAAGAATAGAAGTCAATATATATTCAGCATTGTTGGTGGCAGCAGCCTATTAATCTCGCTCAGTTCTGTGTTGTGTGGCTTAGGGTCTTGAAGTAGTGTTTCCTTAGCTGGCTGAGGGGTGGAGAGATCCAGGCACACACAGAACTTGCTTCATGAATAACACATTACACTGGCTTTGCAGAGAAATTACCTTCCCCGCTGCCGCCCTGCGAGACGGAGGAGGAGGCCTGTCCTCTTGATTGGCCAACTCTCGTCTTGCCGCTGAGAAAATTACAGATAAGGTTTTTGATCCTGAAAAGGTTTCTTTCCTCCAGGTTAGGAAATGTAAAAGGAGTTTAGTTCGTCCATTGTCTCCTCCCCACCTGGGGATGCCCACCGTCAGCGTTTGGTGCCTCCCTTCGCTTTCTTTGTCCGGGCGGTTCGTAATTCCCGACGCCTGGGTCTAACCTATTTGTCCCCTTCTTCCGTTCATGCAGGCGCGAGTGTTTCCCATTCCATGAAACATTCATGTGTATGAGTATCAGCGCCCGTGTGATGTGTGATGTGGCTGTGCTGTCAGTGACACTTCCGAGATCCCTCTTTCTGAATTATGAGCAGTACCACCCTGAACATAAATGTTGCAGCAACTACGTTTTCCATTCCCTCGGGGTAAATTCCTGTCTGGGAATTGCTGGGTCAAAGGACAGGAATACTTCAGGGGTGTTTGCTCCTTATTGCTACAAGTACCCTATTTATAGACCTTGTCCTTTTTCCTGGTGAATTGCCTTTTTGTGCCTTTCACGGTCGGTCGTGGCTCCCGCCCTGTTTGAAAGACGCAGCATTCTGTGCTGCTGCTGCTGCTGCTGCTGAACACTGAAGATATCTGTGTCCCCTACCCCAAGCCCAAAGTTCTGGGGTGTATGTTTGTTTGCTTGCTCACTTTGCAAAAGCTGATGCCTCACTCATGCTAGGCAGACACTGCCCCTGAGCTACACCATGTGCCTGGGATTGG